GCTACCACGCCCGGCTGATTTTTTTTGATTTATTGTAGAGATGAGGTCTTGCTGACCAGGTGGGTGTCGAACCTGCGGGCTCAGGCAATCCACTCACCTCATCCTCCCAAAGGCACGGGATTACAGGCTGAGCCACCAAGCCAGGCTCTTTTCTTTTCTTTAATAAACCTTTTTAACCACAGGCGACTGGGCTGGTCCTTCTCAACATACGTTACACTATGGGGCAGCAGGAGTCCACTCCCTGTTTGGCTCCTCTCATGTTGGTGCTGGTTCTGAACCTCTCTGGGCTCTGGGTCAAAGGCTGGGCTAGGGAGGAGCAGCTGAATGTCCTGGATCCCAAGAAGGAGATTCTTTGAGGCCAGGGTCTCTGGTAGGGAGGACCATTCCTGGCATCCCTGCTCTGCCACAGCTATCCAGGGTGGGGCAGGGGTATCTCCTGCTTGGGGCAGGGTGAGGTAGGGGAGAGAAGTTGGTCCTGGATGGATTACCTCTACTGGGGTCTTTGTTTTCCTACCTCCCCCCAGCACTGGTTTCCTCACAACCCAGTCTATAGTAGTCAGTATTCTTAAGATACCCAGATGTTCTGAGCTGCAGTTTCCCTATGATGACACCATATGTTGTTTCTTGAGCACTAAAGATGGGCAGTGCAGGATGCTTGGGACTTTGTATGTCATGCCCTGAATCCTCACAGAAAGTCAGCACATCCATTACCTGATTTCAAGGACTCATGGTCAATTTCCATTTTAAAAGCAGGAAACACACTGAGCAAGTGATGTGCAATTATTAAGTGCAGAGCCAGGACTTCATTCCAAAGCCAGGCTAACTCCCCCGTCCTACCTCAATGGGGACAGCTGTGAAGCAGCTCTGTTTTATGGAGACTGTCATGGGACTGATAGGAGATGCTGCCTTCCCAGGGGTGTGGCAAGTGCCAGGTCAGCCTGAGAGCTAAGAGGGAGCCCCCGAATTCCGGTGGGATCCCTCTAGCCATTTGTGAAAATAAAGTCAAGCAAAGAGGAAGGTGAAAGACAGAATCCACCCTGGCCTTTCTGAGCCCATTTCTCTTTTCCGGGGACCCCGAGCACCGATCACTGATCCCCACAGTGGTCTCCAAGGTTCAGTGACCCAGAAGCCCTCTTGCTAGCCTCCTCTCAGGAAACCCAGGTCCCTCCAAAGTGCCCTCAGGGCGTGAGATGAACTGTACCTCAGCAGGGAAGATTTCTTGTCTGCTTTCTTTCCTTTTGGCTCTATTTTTTTAATCTCAAGTTTTCTTTCTCAAGTGTTTGAAAATTATTTTTTCGAGTAAGGGGGAAATGAAGAAACAAACAGCCCCATTACAAAGTAGGCAAAAAATATGACTAGACACTTCTCAAAAGAAAACATAGGAGCAGTCAACAGATACATGAAAAAATGCTCAACCTCACTAGTCATCAAAGAAATGCAAGTCAAAACCACACTGAACCGGGCATGGTGGCTCAAGCCTGTAATCCCAGCACTTTGGGAGGCAGAGGCAAGAGGATTGCCTGAGCCCAGGGGTTCAAGACCTGCCTGAGCATCATGGCAAGACCTCGTCTCTACAATAAATCAAAAATTAGCCGGGCGTGGTAGCGCATGCCTGTAGTTCCAGCTACCTGGAAGGCTGAGGTGGAAGGATCACCAGAGCCCAGCAGGTTGAAGTGGGAGTGATTGTGGGTGTACCGCTGCACTCCAGCCTGGGTGATGGAGTGAGACTCCAAATTAAAAAAAAAAAAAGGTAAAAAATAAAACCACACTGAGATACCACCTAACTCCAGTCAGGATGGCCATCATCAATAACTCAAAAAACAACAGATGCTGAAGAGGATGCAGGGAAAAGGGAACACTTCCACACTGTTTGTGGGAGTGTAAACTAGTGCAACCTCTGTGGAAAACAGTGTGGCGATTCCCAAAAGATTTAAACATTGACCTTCCATACGACCCCACAATTCCCCTACTGGGAAAATATCTGGAGGAACTCAAATCACTCTATGAAAAAGATACGTGCACATGCATATTTATTGCAGCATTATTCACAGTAGCAAAAACATTGAACCAACTATGTTGCCCATTGAAAGAGGACTGGCTAAAAAAATGTGGTACATATGCATGATGGAATGTTATGCAGCCATAAAGAAGGACAAAATTATGAACTTTGCAGCTACTTGAATGGACTATAATACTGAGTGATCTTTTGCAGAAATAAAGAACTGAGTGCCACATGCTCTCACTCATAGGCGAACCTTGAACAATTATCATAATACTATAAAAAAGGGATTGGCAGTAGTGGG